GCATGTATGTTCAGAATTGAGACTTCATCTTGATGGATTTTTCCTGTGTCAAATATCAAATGTCATTCTTCATCTCTTTTTGATTACTTTTAGTCTGATACTTTTGTTCGATATTGGGATAGCTACACCAGCTTGTTTCTTAGGTCCATTTGATTGGAAAATCTTTTCCCAACCCTTTAAGGTAATATCTGTCTTTGGATTTGAGGTGAGTTTCTTGTATGCAGCAGAAGGATGGATTCTGTTTTCATATCCAGTTTGTTAGCTTGTGTCTTTTTATAGGTGAATTGGGTCCATTGATATTAAGGGATATTAATGACCAGTGACAGTTCCTGTTATTTTTGTTTTTGTTTTTGCTGTTGTTGGTAGTATAGTGTGTTTCCATTCTTTGGAATTTACTGTTGTGCGATTATCTTTTTTTTAATATTTTATTCATTTATTATGTATACAACATTCTGCTTCCATGTGTATCTGCACACCAGAAGAGGGCACCAGATCTTATAACGGATGGTTGTGAGCCACCATGTGGTTGCTGGGAATCGAACTCAGGACCTCTGGAAGAGCAGTCAGTGCTCTTAACCTCTGAGCCATCTTTCCACAGCCCGTGCGATTATCTTTTGCCTGTGTTTTTGTGAGTGTAGCTATCTTCCTTGGGTTGGCGTTTTCCTTCCAGTATTTTCTGTAGGGCTGGATTTGTTGATAAGTATTGTTTAAATATGGTTTTGTCATCGGATATCTTGTTTTCTCAACCACGACAACTCTTATAAAGGACACCATTTAATTGAGGCTTGCTTACAGTTTCAGAGGTTTAGCGCATTGTCCTCATGGCAGGAACATGTCAGCATGCAGACAGAGAAGTAGAGAAGTGGTGAGTTCTATATCTGGATCCACAGGCATCAGGAAAACAGAGAGAAACTGGGACTGGCTTGGGTTTTAAAACCCTATAGCCTGCCCCCAGTCACACACTTCCTCTAAACCACATGTACTCCAACAAGGCCACACCTCCTAATCCCTCTCAAATAATGCCACTTCTCAATGACCAAGCATTCAACTATATGAGCCTGTAGAGACCATTCCTATTCAAATCACACTCATTCTGGTTGGAAGTGATGGGAGTAAGTGCCATATGCTAGATCTCAGCTCGGGTTTTTTTTTTTTTTTTTTTTTTTTTTTTTTTTTTTTTTTTGTGTGTGTGTGTGTGTGCCTTTGTTGACAAAAAGTTAGTCTTGAACGTTTTAACCTCCTGCCTTTACAAGTGCTGGGATTACAGGTGTATGTGACACCACACCTGCCTCAATTATTGTAGCTAGTCACTGACCTTGGGCAAGCCACTCAATTTTATATTCAAGTTATATCTCTATAAAATGCTACCTGACTGCACAAGGATCCGGTGGAATAGCTGACATAGAAACACTTTTGTTGTTGTTTAGTTTTATGAGACAATATCTTGTTATGTAGCCCATCTCCAAGTGCTGTGATCACACCTGACTAGGAAGGTACTTTGTAAACCCTGAAGTGTCACAGAGGAATGGCTACCGATGAAACTACCTCTTCCAGGGGCTTTCATGGGACTTTCAAGGGCAATGTGGTGGTTTGAATGAAAATGATCCCGAGAGGCTCATATTGAATTCTTGGTTCCCACTTGGTTGACTGTTGGGATGGATTAGGAGGTGTGACCTTGGAGGAGGTATGTCAATGGGGGTGGGATTTGAGGTTTCAAAAGCCCACTCCAGGCCCAGTGTCTCTCTCTTTCTGCTGCCCGTGGATCAGGATATAAAGCTCGAAGCTTCCCACCATGATGATCATGGACTAAGTTTCTGAAACTGTAAGCAAGTCTCCGATTCAGTGTGTTCTTTTATAAGAGTTGCCTTGGTCATGGTGTCTCTTCACAGCAATAGAACAGTGACTTAGACTTAGTAAGTAAAGCCTTCTCTCCCCGTGCCTCCCGTAGCTGACCACCCATAGCTCTCAACAGCCCAATAATGGTGATGACTTTGTACCGTTTGTCCCAGCAAAGCACTGATGGCTGTGGTGGTGTTTGGGACACCATCATGACAGAGGTGAGGATGAGGTTGGGAGGGCGTCTGTTGCTCAGACCCTGGGACATCACAGTACCTGGTTCTACTTTACTACATGTAAGGCCAACCCCAAAGTCAGAGAACCCTACATTTTACCCCCATCTCTGATGCCCAACATGGGGCCCTAGTCAGAGAAGCCTAGAGAGCTCCATTAATGCAGAGGACAGACAAGCTCAGAAGTCCCCATCCAGGAAGTTGAGAAAAACACTATAGGCCTTGGAACATTCATTTTCAGTCAGTCTTGCTGTGGCTGGCCTGGTACATGATTTGTAGCCGAGGCTGACCTGAGCTCCCAGCAATCCTGAATGCTGAGATTATAGGTGTATTCTGCCACACCTAACTAGAACATTCTATTGGTTGTTGTTTGTATCGAGATAGGGTCTCATGTAGCCCAGGTTGCCCTCATACTTGCTATGTAGTCCAAACTGCCCTTCAACTCCTAATCCTCCTCCACCACCATGCCTTGCTTAAAACCCTCCTTTCAAATACTCTTGATGTGTGTGTGTGTGTGTGTGTGTGTGTGTGTGTGTGTTTTGGTTTGTTGTGTTGTGGGTTTTTTTATTTTTTTATTTTTTAAGTATTCTTTTTTAAAAATTTTATTTATTTATTATGTATACAACATTCTGCTTCCGTGGATAGCTGCACACCAGAAGAGGGCACCAGATCTCATAACAGATGGTTGTGAGCCACCATGTGGTTGCTGGGAATTGAACTCAGAACCTCTGGAAGAGCAATCAGTGCTCTTAACCTCTGAGCCATCTCTCCAGCCCCTGTGTTGTGGGTTTTGTTTTGATTTGTTTTGTTTTTTCAAAACAGGGTTTCTCTGTGTAGCCTGGCTACTATGCTTTTTGAAGATTGGTTTTTGTTTTTATATTATATATTTGTGTGCTGTGTGTAGGAGCCCTTGGAGGCCAGAGGAGAGCATTGGATCCTCTGGAGCTGGAGTTGTGAACCTCCCAACATGGGTACTGATAATTGAACTCTAGCCTTCTGGAAGAGCAGAAGTACTTCTCACTGCTGAGCCATCTCTCCAGCCCCTGTTGTTGTTTTAAGAAGGGTTTCAAGTAACACACATTGGCTGGCCTTGAACTTGTTTTGTAGCTCAGACTGGCCTTGAACTCTTGAACTCAGCCTCCTAAATGTTAAAATTACAGACACATGGCATCATAGCTGGTTTACAGCATTATTTGTTTTTAAGACAAGGTCTCATTCCGTAGCCCTAGCCCAGAACAGAACTTTCAATGTAGCCCAGGCTGGCCTCAAACTTGCAGCAATCCTTGTCTCAGCTTCCTCAGTACTGGGATTACAGGTATAGCTCACCATGTTTGGCAAGACATTCATTTTTAAAATGTGCTACTTCTGGACATTTGGAAGTCTGTAGGAAGTGAAGAAAGTAAGGGACTCCACTGGAAAAGGATAAGCCTTCTCCAAGTATCCTGTCCTCTACCCAAAGCAGAGAGTGGGGATCATGACCCAGGCCTCCATCAGACAAGAGGGAGAAAGAAAAAAGGGTGATGTGCCCCATTCCTTGTCTACTTTAAGGGCAGTGGGCCCTTAAAGATGGACTTAGAGTGAAGGCTGTTAACCTGAGAAGTCTGTCTCCCACAGACACTGCCCTTGACCTGGCTCTCACCCTGGCCTACATGCAGTGTGTTCTGGAGGCACTGGGTAGATGGGACTGCCTGAATCCTGCTTCCTTCCCCAAGGCCTCTGAAGGAGGGTTTGAATCTCTGTCCTCTCTCCTGAAGAGTTGGGTCCTCTGTAGAACCAGAGACTTTATTGCCCACAAACCCCTGCTACCTTCACCTCACTAAACTGTCATTGTCCTGGAGCCTCATCTCACACCCGCCTCTTCTCTAAATTCTTGCCAAAGGAGTCCAGCACCCTGTGGCCTGCAATCCGCTATGCAGCATGGACTGGTGTTTCATTGCATAAGACCCTCTGCCTCTGCTTCCTGGGTGCTGGCACTATAGGTGAGCACCACAACTTCTGGTGAGGACCGGGATATGGATGCTGGGTATCTGTCCTTTTGCTTCTACTCACTGTTTTCTTCTACTTGCTGCTGTGCAGGACATTGAGGCCAGGGCCTTGCCCATGCTGAGCCAATGCACTATGACTGAGCTACATCTTCAGTCCTTATCTCATCACATTGAATATCAAATATAGAAAGCTTATTTTTATTTGTATTGTTTTGCCTGAGTATCACACCCATGCAGTATCCTTGGAGGCCAGAAGGGGGCAACAAATTTGCCATGTGGGTCCTGAGAATGGAACATGGGTCCTCTGGAAGAGCAGTCAGTGCTCTAAATCACTGAGCCATCTTGGAGCCCAGCAGCTTGCAACATGTGGGTCGTGACCCTGTGTGTGTGTGTGTGTGTGGTCACCTAGGACCATCAGAAAACACAGATATTTATATTACAGCTTGTAAGAGTAGCAACTTAAGACCATCAGAAAACACAGATATTTATATTACAGCTTGTAAGAGTAGCAACATTACAGCTAAGAAGTAGCAATGAAAATGATTTTGTGGTTGGGGGTCACCACAACATGAGGAACTGTGCAGCTTAGGAAGGTTGAGAACCATTGCTCTAGCCCCAAGATTTTTTTTTAATGTGTGGGAGCACTGGGAGGCCATAAAAGAGTGACAGATTACAACATGAGGAACTATGCAGCATTAGGAAGGTTGAGAACCATTGCTCTAGCCCCAAGATTTTTTTTTTAATGTGTGGGAGCACTGGGAGGCCATAAAAGAGTGACAGATTCCCATTATTCTGGAGTTCCTGGCTCCCTTGTTTCATCATCTTAAGCACAGAGCCTCTCACACAGCACACAGTAGGAACTTTAGAAGTTGGCACTAATTGTGTAGAGGCACATTTCTGACACTAGGTGGCAGCATTGGACAAACTTCCAGGCTAGAGCCATTCGGTGAGTGAAACCTTAAAAACTTTTATTTCTTGTACAAATGATAAATATTTTGTATTAAAAATCTGGAATTCAAGTTTTCCTTGTACTTCATGCTCCCTTCCTGCTCCAGAACCTTGCCAAAGTCCTTCAGTCCAACGGGAGGAACAATTGGTGTGTGCTGAAGAAGCCAAGTTGGGTCCCAGGAAAGGCACATGTGGTCTCAAGGGCGGCGATCTCCCTGCTCCCCATTGCTCCTGGGGCAGAAAAGGCACTTCAGACACGGGAGCTGGGGCGTGAGTCCCCAGAAGTCCCTCTCTGGTCAATGGTTCCCTTGCAATGGGAAGGTGTGATACAGGAACACACACCCCTGGAACAAGTTCCACAAAAGAAGCCTAGGCCAGTTCATTTTCATTGCATGTATGTGGGACATTTTGGGGGACGTGAAGAGGGGAGGCTGCTAATCTGGAGAACGGCTTATATCCCTCTGTCCCCCAGATGGGCACAGGTAGGCATTGGGGCTGCCCAAAGTTGTCCCTGCTGGGTGATATCCTTTTACTGTCATGCAGATGAGGTCATGGCTTCAGCATCAGAGGCACAGGAAGGGACCTAAGGCCCCAGGTAGGGTTGCCACACCCTCTGGTGGCCAGTGAAGAACTTGTGGGTCCAAGCCGTTCTTTGCTCCCCACAGTCAGGGGTCCTCATCCCAGAGGCACAGCTGTCTCTGAGGTACATAGAAGTCAAAGCTGTAGTTTTTCCTGCAGCTCCGGATGCCACACTTGTAGGGTGCCGGCCGGTCACGGCTGTGGCAGTACTTGAGCATGCAAGGGTACCAGGCCAGGCTCAGACTGTAGCGGCAGGCACAGGGCTTTCCTCGGTCTCTCACTTGCCCACAGCGAGGCAATTCCATCTGCTCCTTGGGCAGGGCCTCAAACACAGAACTGTCCACACCTGGGAGAAAGAGGCAAACATGAAGAAGGTTGGAACATCTATCTATAGCCCAGGACAGCCTTCTCTCCTGTCACCCCTCCCAAGGCTGCCCTGGGGGAGGACACAGAGGTAAGACCCGGGTCTAAAGCAAGGTGACACTATATCACAGTCGTCCTCATCCACTGAGTCTCAATTTGTGCCAGGGAATCAAAATTGGTTCAGAGAAGTTTACTGATATGGCTGGGGTCATACAATGAAAGGGGGGGGGGGGTCAGGGCCCAAATCAGGCCTGTCTGATTTCACAGTCTACACTGGGCCATGTGGCCACTAGTGCTTTAAGTAAAACTACCTGAAGGATGTGGGCAGGGCAGGGATGGGACAACAGAAGCAGAGTGGGTCTGGATATGAGAAGAGCATGTATGAGGAGTGCTGGGGCAGGTGACATGGCCTGGCCAGGGCTATGTTTAGTGGACCATGAGAAGGAACAGCCTCTGGGGATGCCAGGGTCAGGTCAGTACCTTCATTTAGAGGGTGGTCAGCTGGAGACAGGTGTGTTATAGGCCTGGCCACAAAGTTCAGCCCTCCCTGCCTTGGGAAGGACAGGCTTCTCTATGTGCAGCTGACTGAGCAGAAGGCCCAGGAGCAATGAATCTCCCTGTCCCTTCTACACATAGGACCTGACAGTTTGTAGCAAAGGGACCTGGAGAAGGGCCAGCAGAGTGGCAGAGGGGCCCTGCAGAGCTGGGAGGAGGCCCTGAGGGTTCTGGGAGCAATGCTGGCACCAGGGATGGTGAGATACTGTCTTCAGAGAGGTGCCAGCAGACATGATAGCAGGAACATCTGTGTCCTCACTATGGATAGTGACAAGAATGTTGAGAAGTCTCCTTTCACAGGACCTGGCAGGCTGTCTTCTCATTCTAGCTGCACAGACACCACCTCCTCCAGAAGTCTTCCTGACATATCACAGCCTCCCCTGAGAATACCTGTCACTCATGACTGCACGCTCACACTTTACTGGTGCTGAACAGATCTAACCACTACCAGCTACAGCAACTAGTTGTCCACACTGGGTGTGTCTGTGTGGTCCATCCCTGAAGGGACTCAGTAACTCTCTCCTGAACATAAACAATCACTCAAAGTGTTTTCCCCTCTTCCCACGGAGGGTAGCCCCCAGCTGACCTCGCTCCATCCAGAACTGGACATCTTCCTGGCGGGTGTAGATGGCATCAGTGGCCTCAGCGCAGACATTGTGGAGATGAGGACTCAGCAGGCCCCCCTGGCTGAAGTTCACAGCGATGTCCATGTGGAGCTGTTCCAGACCCCGCACTTCTTCAGCCTGCCGCACTGCGCGGGGGTTTTTCTGTAGGGGCAAGATGTTCAGAGTATCTCCTACCTCCATCCCAAAAGAGGCGGGACCTGGTCAGCAGCTCCAGGTCACCTGAGAGTTGGGGCTCAGTACAGATTAGCGATCTGGGGCTCTGTAGTCAGTTTGGCCTGGGGCCAAATCAGGGGATCAGGACTGTCAAGCAACTGTGAGGAGGAAGAACGTGGTGGGAGGGCAGGGTGACCGCAGGGGTGGGGGCTCTGGGTCAGGGCCTGGCCAGGCAAGCCTGGGGTAGGTGCTCACCTGCCGGAGCTTGGCCATGGCCTCACTGGGGATGATCTCATTGTGGTGCAGCCGGGTGACAAAGCAGAGCCCCTGGAACTGACTCTGCCCCTTCTCCAGCTCCCCTAGGATCAGGGCTCGGAAGATCTTCACATCCTGAAGGGGAAGGGAGGGAGAATAGAGACCAGCTGGAGGGAGGGGCTCCAGCTAGCCCTGGAGAGGACAGGCCTGGATGCTGCCCCAGTGCCTTCCCTAAAGACACCTCCTTCCCCTACCCTAGGAAACTGCTTATCTTTTCCATTTACACCCGTGACTTCAAAGATCACACCCCAAATATTTCCACAGCTCTCTGGAAAACTGACCAAGTGAACCACTGGAGAGGTTTTCAAAAGAACCCTTTGACCAGACAGACCTTCGTCTCAAAAAGACGGCACCTGTTTTTGACACTGATTATTTCCCCCAGGGGGGACCCCAGTGTCCTTATTCAGAGTGGGTCAGGGCCCCCGAGACCACTGGGCAGAGCACCATAGGGAGGGACTATAGTTTTTACAAGCACCCATTCCAGATTGTTTTCTCTGTTACTCTGTAGCTTTGGGGAGAAGGCCTCAGAACATCCCTGGGTATTCCGCAGTCAGCCTGTCATCCACCCTCCCACCACTCCATCAGGGACTGTGGGGCGGAAGCAGCCTGTTGCAGCTGCTGCTGCCTCCCAAGGCTGGAATGCCTTACCTTTTCCCTTCCCTCTCCACTTCCCCTTTCCCCATGGGGTACTCATGGCATGACCAATGGGCCAACAGCTCCTTCCTGCTCTGATTCACTGCATGCATGGGGGCAGCTGGAGCAGGAAGAGGGAACAGAGCCTCAGGATACCATTTGCAGTCTGGTTGCAGCTAGAACCCTCTATTATGTCCTTCTGCACCCCACCCTGCCCCCCCCCAACCCCAAGCACCTTGCACTTCTCACCTATTACATTTCTAGCTCTGCTCCTGGGGAGAAGGAAGTTAGTAGGCCCCAGTATAAAGATGATGGGCACCTGTCCCATATCACCGGTGACATTTGCTGGTGGTTACAACGATGACAGCAACCTCTGCTTATGGTGCTAAGCACTCTTTCCCTCCATATCATGAGCTCCACACTAACCTGCCAGGTACACCAGCTGTCCCCTGTCACAGTGAAGTCTGGAAAAGCCTGGGGCAGCCAATATGTCCAGCCTAGTGGTGGAACCATCCGCCCCTCCCAGCCTGTATCTATAGTGTTTCTCTATGTAGCTCTGGCTGTCTCAGAACTCACTGTGTAGACCAGACTCAGTGTTCCATCTGCCTCTGCCTCCCAGGTGTGCCACCACACTGGCTAATCATCTTCTAAATATTTGTGGATTTCACTCATACTATAACTCTATGATTTAGATCTATAATGGGATCCCTCTTGTACCTTTACTAGAAATGACTTTATATAATGACTTTATTTTAAATGTAACAACAGGGATGGGAATATGGAGGGCAGTTTGCTAGAAGACAGAAATCGAGGCTCAGCTGGGGAGAAAGGTTCCATGAGGCTCCTTCTCACCCAGAACCTTGGAAGGAAGCTGAGTCAGCTTGGCTTCACTCCCACTTCCTCTAGACAGGAAATCCCTTCTTGGGTCACCGTGCTGGCATCTCCTTGTCCTGCCAGCCTGGGCCATCTGATCTTCCATCCCATTCAGGTCGGCCAAGGGGACACTGGAGGCTGATCTGCTAGTGGCAGCTCCCATTCCAGGAACAGTTCCTGTCAGGTGGGAATCGACACAAGATCTCCCCCTCTGAGAGTCTGAGTCAGGCAGTACCTGGGAGGAGCTTCGCACAGGATCCAAAGTCCACCTCACTGGTATTTTCTGCTCTAACCCTTGTGGGAAGGCTATCTGGATACAGCTGTCTTCTCTATGACATGACACATGTACTAACTACAGGGTGGTCTCAGGGCTGCTGAGAGGCTCAGTGAGCAGCCATGCCACCTGCCTGCCATCAGCAGTGGAAGGCATTGAACATTTACGACCAGACCAGAGTCTGGAAGAGCTCTGCTTGAGGAGCTGATAAGATGGCTCAGTGATAAAGTGTTGGTCACACAAGTGTGAGGACCTGAGTTCAGTTACCAGCACCCATGTAAAGAGAGGGTGTGCAAAGGATGCACATTCATACAACAAGAACATCTGTTCAACTATGTTCATAGCAGCGTTGTTTGTAATAGCCAGAACCTGGAAGCAACCTAGATGTCCCTCAACTGCAGAATGGATTAAAAAAATGTAGTACATTTACACAATGGAGAATTCATCAGAAAAACAAAACAAACAAACAAACAATGGAATCTTAAATTCACAGGCAAATGGATGGAACTAGAAGAAACCATCCTGAGTGAGGCAACCCAGTCACAAAAAGACAAACATGGTATGTACTCACTCATATATGGATATCAGACATAGAGTAAAGGATTACCAGCCCACAATCCACACCACCAGAGAAGCTAGGAAGCAAGGAGGACTCTAAGAGAGACATACATAGTCCCCCGGAGAAGGGGAAAGGGACAAGATCTCCTGAGCAAATTGGGAGCATGGGGGAGGGCAGAGGGAATTAAGAGAAAGAGAAGGGAAGAAGAGGAGGGGAGAGTAGGACATGAGACAGCAGGAAGATGGAGTTGGGGGGAGAATAGAGGAGAGTAAGCAAAGAGATACCATAATAGAGGGAGCCATTATAGGTTTAAAGAGAAACCAGGCACTAGGGAAATGTCCAGAAATCCACAAGTAGGACCCCAACTAAGAATCTAAGCAATAGTGGAAAGGCTACCTTAAATGCCCTTCTCCAATAATGAGACTGATGACTACCTTACATGCCATCCCAGAGCCTTCATCCAGTAGCCAATGGAAGCAGAAGCAGACACCCACAGCTAAACACTGAGCAGAACTCCTGGAATCCAGTTGCAGAGAGGGAGGAGTGATGAGCAAAGGGGTCAAGACCAGGCTGGAGAAACCCACAGAAACTGCTGACCTGAGCAAGGGGGAGCTCATGGACCCCAAACTGATAGCTGTGAAACTAGCATAGGACTGATCCAGACCCCCTGAACATGGGTGTCAGTTAGGAGGACTGGGCAATTTATGGGGCCTCTGATAGTAGATCAGTATTTATCCCTAGTACATGAATGGATTTTGGGAGCCCATTCCACATAGAGGGATACTCTCTCAGCCTAAATACATGGGGGAGGAGGGGAGGCTAGGCCCTGCTCCAAATGATGTGACAGACTTTAAATATCCCCATGGAAGACCTCACCCTCCCTGAGGAGCAGAAAGGAGATGGGATAGGGGGTTGGTGGGGGGTAGGGGAGGTGGGGAGGGACAGGGAACTAGGATTGCCATGTACAATAAGATTGTTTTTAATTTAAATTAAAAAATATATAAAGGGTGTGGTGTATGTGCTTTCAATACCAACACTGGGGAGGTAGAGAACAGAGGATCTCTGGAACTTTCTGGCTATCCAAGCTAGTCTAATCCATGAACTCCAGGTCCCAGTGAAGGACTATCTCAGGAAAAAAAAAAGGAAAGGAAGGACAGAGAAATAAAGAAAGAGAGAGAGAGAGGACGAGACAAGGCTGACCACTGGCCTCCTCCATAAATGCAAATGCATACATATTCACATGCAGGTTCATACATGTGTACCTGTGTATACATGGATACGTATCTGCTGTAGGCACACACTCAAGCACACTACACAAACACACACACACACACACACACACACACACACACACACACACACGCTGCCTGAGTTCCTTCCCTGTTGCTGAATTAGATACCAACAGCAATGCCAAGCACCAGATGCTACCAATATGGGAAACTGCCTGGGTGCAGAAGGAAGGAGGACTTCTCACTAAGGCAGAGGAAGTCCTCTGTAACTGTGTAGGACAAAGTTTCACTGATGCTGGTAACTGGGAAAGAGAAACTGCTGTTACTGTGTGTCAAACAGATTGCATCATCTTATCTGAACTCTGAACAACAGGAGGCAGAGCTCCAACTATGACACAGCTTGGATTGGGTAACCTGCCCAAGGTCATGGATTTAGGGGAAATGTAGCTGGGATTTTTAACCCAGGTAGTCTAGGCTGTCCCAAAGTTGAGCTCTTTCCCCAGAAAGCACAGTTGCTTCCTGGATCAACTAGTCAAACTTCCCTAATGTTAAACTAAAAAAATAGGCTGAACTCAGGAGGCAGTGGCAGGCGGATCTTTGTGAGTTCGAGGCCAGCCTGGTCTACAGAGTGAGTTCTAGGACAGCCTCCAAAACAATACAGAGAAACCAAGAAGGAGGAGGAGGAAGAAGAGGAGGATGATGATGATGATGATGATGAGGAGGAGGAAGAGGAGGAGGAGGAGGAGGAGGAGGAGGAAGAAGAAGAAGAAGAAGAAGAAGAAGAAGAAGAAGAAGAAGAGAAATAGGCTGAATAGGTATAGTCCTTGGGAGGTGGAGAGGCAGGACAATTGCCAGTTTGAAGGCAACCTGGGCTACACAGAGAGATTTTTGTTTCAAAGGAAAAGTGGAGTTAGGGAAGGAGGGAGGGAAGAATGGATGAACTGAGACTCAGGCCCACAAAGCCAGTGCATGGCAGACAGGACTAGAACCCGGTTTCCCATCATACTCTTTTGGCCACTGTCCCCAAATCCTTAGTTGATTGCCTAAGAACATAGCAGTTCCCGCTCTCACTGTGTGTGCCTAACAAACAGCCTGATGCAAATAAAGCATGAGACAGGAACACCTCCTTTCCCACCTGCCTGCACTGTGAAAAACCCTTTATACCCAGGTTCTCTGGTCTTGATCCTATTTGCCCCCAAAGCCACATGTCCTTTGCTGGTCCTAGGAGGGGGTGACCATCACATCCTGAACCATGGCCTGCCCACCGGACCCACTAGCAAGGCTCCGGAACAGATGGAAGGACAATGTGACAGAGCTCCTCTGCTTTGGGAACATCTGGACAGATGTTAAGTTCAAGCCAGATGGAAACCTGGCTCCTAGGCGCTCTGCTTGCCTAGAGTCCCCTGGGTTGATTCAAAAGCTCAAGGCATGTAGTACAACAGGGCAAAAGCCTTTGGCAGGGGATAGAGAATTACAGTCTGGGCCTCCCAAACTGGGAGGGCTCCATAAGCTCCCTTCCCCAGGACCTTCAGCCCATAAGAAAGTACTGTGGCACACA